CCTGTGGCGAGGGAGGGAGTGGGGCTGGGGCAGGCACTGCCCAGCTGGAGGTGGGCTCAGGACAGAGCCATGACTCATCTGGGGGCACAGAAGCGGCTCCCACAGCTGCATGCAACCCGGGAGGGTACGTGGGGGAGGGAAGGGGAGATGTGTGCTAGGTCTGTGTACAGGGCAAAGGTGGGGTGCTGCTGCAGGTGGGGACAGCACTGGGCTCCTCCCAATGGGGGGGAGGGGCTGGGCTGCACTTGGGGCAGCTGCAGCCCTTCCCCATAGCCCCCCTCCCAGTGCTGCCACAACCCGCCCCGAGTGCAGGCCCAGCCCAGCCCCTACACCAGGAAGAGCCTTCAGCCCACAGCAGCAGCCCACCCTCGCCCTGTGCTTAGATTTGGGGGCACACATCCATGTCCCTCTGGGGTGCATGCAGCAGCAGGAGTCACTTCGCTCCCAGATGAACTGCTCACAGCTCCACCCTGCCACAGCTGTGCAGTGCTGGCCAGATGCTTTACCAGCCAGACGCTATTCTCCATGCTGCAGGGCTATGCTCCTGTCTGCCTGTGTGCTGCACTGAGGCTGCATGCATGCTAGGGCATTTATCGGCAACATTATCGGCCATATCAGCCAAAAAAACCTGACTGCTGATAATGTCAATTTTCCTTATATCGGTGCTGATACGATATGGGACCGATGTATTAGGCACCTCTATACACAGGCACACAAGGTAGAAAGATACAAATCATAATACAATATCAAGTATTGTGGATTTGTGCACCAGTTTAAAGTTACCAATTACACTCAATACTTCAGTAGTGACCATAAACAAGGTAATTAGAAGGTAAAATATAATTATATTGAGTAGGGCAAAGGACCTTCTATAAGGATCCAAATAACAGCCATAATGTGGGCACTACACAGTATTTATAGCTTAGCAACTCCACTGTTGACTATCTGAAACAACTAAGACTTCTGTGACTATTATACCATATAGTTACTACTGGGACGACACCTGGTAGGGATGGAAGCACTCTGACACAGGCTGGCATCCCTGCAGAAAAGTGCCCTTAGGAAGCAGAGAGGCCAGGTGTAGAGCTCTTCTGCAGGGCTACCAATTCAGATTAGATCTCAAAAGCAAAGCTATTGCCGCAGACAGTCCCTCCCTACTACCCTTGCTCCTCTCTAGGCCAAGTAACTTGTTATAAAAACCGCAACAAGGATGATTTCCTAAGCCTTGAGACTTAAGGAGGAGTGTTGTGGGCTGTATTTCTGGTTGATCAACTGGCTGAGGCAGAACAAAACCATGAACACTCCTGGACTTGGCAGAAGTTCACTCCCAGAACTTACCAACAAGGCTCTCCGCTGTTATAATTTGGCATAGCTCCACTGATGCCAGTTAGTGCCATGCCAATTTATGCCAGCTGAAGGTTTAGCCCTTTTCTGTAAGACAGCAATATGGCACTCCTCTGTCATCATGTGTGGAGAAGTCCAATGCTAGATCCAGACATGCTCATCTCTATAATGGACAAGACCGTTGCACAGCTTCCCAAGTCAAGATAAGAAGCTTGAAGGAAGTTCACAAGGCACTGACTACAATTCTCACCTCAAAGGTTCCAGCCTTTAGAAGGCTGACCTGGTCATGCTGCGAAAGATCTCGGAACCCCGGGATACGCTTTGCAAACTCCACAACTTCTTTCACTGCAGGAGTAAAGCTCATGGAAAATTCTTCCCAAACTTCATGGCCAGACTTAGTTGGATCCACATAGGGAGTCTTGCTCATTGGACAAACCTAGGATTTCCACACACACAAAATCTTTAATCTATTTCAAAAGTTTTACCAAACGTTTGAAAGAGACTCTCTCTGACTTTAGAAAAGCATCACACTAATAACGTAACAGATAAAATGTGTGTTCCTCCATTAACTAATTGGTTAAACAAGAGGGGCTTTTATGCAGGTCCACTAACTAACTACTGTGCTTTAAAAAATTGTTAACATTGTCAGCTCCGGTAATTCATATGACGAAAGACTGTACCATGCAGGGGATCCATAGTTAAGTGCCCCCCTCCAATCTCTTTTACTCTAATTTAACTTCTAAATTTTTATTGTAGGTACTCGTATCGTCTCCACCATTGCCGTACATAAGCATTTTACGATCATAAATGTATTTTGTTTCAGGAGGTCCTTGCAGGGCAAGGAAGTGCGAGTCCCATTTTACAGATGGAAAAGCTAACAAGTGGGAAAACTCAGTACTGTGATTTTAGACCAAAACTTTCTTTGCTTACCTTTTTACAGTTGTATTTTAAGCCAGACACACTAACTTCATAAACTTTTAAAAGTTCTCCCTTAAAGAAGGGTTTGATTAATTTACTGGATTTCAAATAAACAATAAGTTGGAAAAGTGAGTTTTATTAAAGAAGCCTTTGATACTTCTGGCTGCCAAATAGCCTATGTCCATTCATATCTTTTGTAGGTTTTGGCTGAAAATAGGTTATTCAGCAGCCAAAAATATTGCTAGAAAAAAGCCAACATCTGTTCCCACACACAACTTAAAGCATTACTCTCTCTTTGGTAATTCTCTGTCACTACACTGTTCCTCTCGAAGTCCCAGCTATAACCCAAAATGACCCATGTTCAACCTCGCTGACTAAACACGTACATTTTGGCCCATCTATATTAACAATTCATTAAAATGAAAGCAGAGGAATACAATTGAACCCTTCACTTAAGTCAAGGTGAGCAAGAATAATTGACATCACTATACCAGATGCATTCTCCCGCCAGTGTTGCATGAGTAACCATTCATGTTCTCATTTGGAGAAAACCCATCTTCTGGAATCCTATCACATATTCTTTGAGTATAACTGTTGGTAAAGTTCATACAGTGGCCATTTGTCAAACAAATGGTGTGCCCATTTGGATAATGCATTACGTTTCTCCCTTTGTACTGTCCACTGAGATAGTGCTCACTTTCGGTACAATGGATGCCATTAAGCCCGCTGCTACAACGGTTGCTATTCAAACTATACTGTTCAGTGTTCTTTGGAATTCTCTCCCCATTGTGTGGCTGCATGGCCTCAACTGGGTTTTGTGACTGTTCCTGGTTGTACATGAAGGTATCTTTGTGGGCTCGGGTCACCATACCAATCACTTCTTCCTTGGCAATGTCGGAGGGAGGAGGAGGAGGTGGTGGAGGTGGAGGAGAAGGACTTTTGATGTTCTCCTGCTCTTGTTGGGGTTTGGATGCGAGCTCTTCAGGGGCTTGCTCTTGATGTTCTGATAATGCTTCATTTGACAAGTGGCCACTGAATTGGCTGTTCATCATGGTCTTCATGGCACTTTGCATTTCAATCAGCATTCTCTGTTTTTCACGTTTAGGAATGCGGCCAAATCTAACAGCTAATGAAGAAGAAAAAAAACAACAGCACTTTTAGTGCTACACAATCATACCAAGTTCAATGGTATGATACCAAGTTCAATGGACTACTACTAAAAGAAAAGTGGGCGCTAATCCTCATTTCATTTAAATGTGTCAGAAGTCACTTCCCTCGAATTTCCCTAAAATAAAGCCAGTATGAAATCAGAACTGGGTCCAAAGCCATCTTGTTATATGTGGCTATTTATAGGTAAACAACAAAAGCAACTAAAAAGTATGCTAAGATTGTTTGCATTGCCTTTTTCTTAGTTTTCCAAACTTGGGCACAGAATATGCACAGAGTTGCACTGGCTTAAGCAAAGATGCAATTAAAACCCACTGTAGTTCAATCAGTGCATCAGGGGCTGCAAACCGATTCACACTGAATATATATCAGATTATTTTATGTTTACAGGGGCAAGCTAAACAGAGATAGCCAGTTTTAAGGCAGCCGAAGTGTGTTTGTCCAGGAGTCTATATTAAATAAAGAAGCTTAACTAGATTAATCAGGTGCAACTCTGTGCACAGACTAGCCCATGAGGACTGAATTTCATCAAATAGAGTGATAGCCAGGGATCCTGGTTTTCTCAGATTTAAAAACAATCCCCAATTTTCAGTTAAAAAAGTAACCCTAAATTCACATTGTTCCATGATTAAAATTAAACACCACTATATATGTCTACATATTAGTGGCGTTTCATTTAACTCACAAAAAATGTGGATTTGTGATTTGTTTTTTTAACTGAAAATTGGGGTTTTTTTAAATCAGAAAAAACCAGGATCCCTGGCGATAACCAAGAACTTTATTCAAAGGAACCGTTCTAATTCCACCCCCATCTCTACACCTCTGAAATGAATGTTACAGCAAGGTTTATTGTTAATGCAAGATTGATGTTCTGAAGGAAAAATGAAGCCAAACAAAATACATTTTCATCACTTTATTAAAAAAATGTGGCCAGGGTGAGATTTTCAGTGGTGTAAATAAAGACTTAACTGATCGTTCATGAAAGCTATTCAACTCTGCTTGTTTCCTATGCCAAAAACCTCTTCCTTAAGCTCTACACATTTAGCCAAGTTGATTACAATAAAAATACTATGCACTAACGGCCCTTATTAAAAGACCTTCTGCAAGAGCTTCACTGGGCAGTATTTCCTTCTGTTTAAAAAGAAAATCTAACACACATATTCCATACACAGGACACCAAGGGCTCCCACCCCATTAGCATTTTAGCTATGCTACTGTAATCCAAAGAGGCATCACTGGCGCGCACACAAATTACCTTCCCTATAGTAAAACTGAGTCTCTGACATATTTCAGTTGGGACACAGCCCAGGGTTAGGCATGTATGCCTTGCAAAGATGAGCTTAATTTTTTGAATAGCTGCACCCAATGAGACTCTACATGAGGCCTTCTCAAACTCCTAAGCAGCCATGAGTCTCCCTCTTTCCCCTCACAGCTAGTAGCCCATGAAGGAATGGCAGGTTGTGGGACCCATCTCACAACAAAAGCTCAAAGAACCAGTTACTGTACAGATATGAAACCACTCTACTTTGAGCATATGTCAGCATGACTCTCAGTGCAGGTAAGTGGCAAGCAGCATTCTCTTAGGACACTGGAAGGGAATAACAACTGCATTAGGCCAAAGGTTGGAAAAACACACCATTCCTCCAAACTTGTCACTTGATCTGGCAGCTAAGTTTAGCACATAATGCTTGGCAAGCAGAGAAGAGTGGTTTCATACAGCACAATTTCAGATGTCAGCACAGTTAATGGCAGACCGAAGACAACTCTGGTAAATTAAACTGTAACTGCAATGAGAGAGGTACGCTGCCCAACTGGTAATACATTATGCTTCACGTGTTGATGGTCTTTACAGTGAAGCAACCTAGCTCTAGGAACAGACAAGTAAGGCTACACATTGACTATGGGTACAGTCTGGAACATTGGTGTGCATCACTGCAATATCTAGATGGAGCTGGAGAGTGCAGCTTTTCCCCTGGAGTAGGGCACACTTTTGAGAAAAGCACAGGTAAGCTAGCTAATTGTTTTAAGTGGGCATGCAGATTTTATCTGTAGGTGTCCCAGGTGAGTCCATTACTAATGCCTTTGATGGAGCAGTTTGGGATCTATGGTGTAATCACAACTGCAGCTCCATGACGCACTTGAGGATTAGTCAAGACAAGCTGTCAGGTTGGTATCTGAGCGACAACCCATCAATACTGTAAACCCATGCACTTGACCCTAAATATCAGTGCAGACACCCTCAGTTCCATGGAGACTTTGAAAAGCAGAACTTGGTCCCATCATAAATCTCAGGCAAGCTGTGTAGACCAGCATTTTTCAACTGGTGGGTCACAACACAAAAAGTGGGTCGCAAAAATATTTGAGAGGGTTGCAAGCAGGTCCCCAGAAAACCTCGTGAAAGCATGGGCTTCCCTTTGTGGGCTGGCAGCATTCCAGCCTGCAAGCAGCTGCCTGGGATGACTGCAAGCAGTGGGTGCATGCAACTCTGTGCAGGAAGATGCTTGTGGCCAGCACAGAGAGAGGCCGGGTCATGGGAGAAGGCCCAGCTGCAGGTAAATAGGGGGATGGAAGTCCAAGGGATGGCTATGAGAGCTGCGACGGTGTGCGCATGCGTGCACCTACCTACTGGTGCTGAGGACGGTGGCCAGGCACAGACCTGGGACAGGGGGAGCAAGGGGAGAAGGCACTTGGCCCTTCAGTGGGGGAAAGAGGTGGCGGGACGGGGCCAGAACCCATACACAGAGGGACCCACATTCACTGCTCATGCTTTGGCTTGAGTGAAACAGAGGCATCTGGGGGCCCCCTCTGGCAAGGCTGGAGGGGCAGGGGACCGCAGATTGGGAGTGATAGGCACCAGCAGGGCCAGGGGATGCAGGTCAGGACAAGCCATCCATCTTGGCAAATGCGTTTCAGTATGAAAAAGGTTGAGAACTACTGGTGTAGACCATGTTGATGACAGCATGAAAGTAGCATGGACCTTCAAGTCAAGAATCATACACCAGGCCTGAGTCTGACATGACAGAGGCAGGTGTTACTTTCCTGAATCTGCAGCAGTATAGGTATTTGCTCACAGAACCCTTTCTTTGAAATAGGAAAATATCCACTGATGTCTAGAAAAGGGAAGGATCCTTCTTGGCTAATATTACCACCCATATGGAGCTGGTAAAAATGTAGGAGAATCATACAGTGAGATAAAATGATCCAAATGCAAGAGACAGCATCACTGTCAGGGTACAACAACCTGTCTCTATATAAGCTTTCTCATTCACTTTTGAGCTGAGCAACAAAAGCAGTATCATTGATTTTAAGAATGTCATTATTCAACATAGGACCATACCATCTCTTGACATTCCAACAGACAGACATTTTTTGAAGCGGCACTGCTGGCATCTGTTCCTATTCATTCTCATTATAGAGCAGTTGTTATTCTTCAAGCATTTCTTATATTGGATATTTTGCTGAATACTTCTTCTGAAAAAGCCCTGAAAACAAACACGAAAAAGAACCTCTTACTATAGATGTCAAATCCATCTGTTAGCAGATATGCATAATGTATATACGGACTCATATACCCCTTTCAGAATCATCTGCCGTATATGTCACTAGCAGTACTTTTACAACTTCTCATGATTGTTTTTTCCCCGCTGGCTGTTCTGCATGTACAAAGAAGTATAATTATATGTATGCATGTATAATGCAACAGTTAGTATTTATAATTATAATACATTCCAAAAGTTTCCCCACATTCAACACTAAAATCATTTTACAACAGAGAAAATGAGGGGTTAAGTGACTTGCCAAAGGTTGCACAGATTTCTGGAAACTGAATGCAGACCTCCTGACTCGCAGCTGTATATTTTAGCTACTAGGCCATTCTCTTGCACTGCATCTAAACAACTTTCCCATGCCAAACCTGACTCTTTTACATGTAATAACTTCCTTTACATCCTTGGGGATGCTGTATAAAAGAGTGCTTTTATTCTTCTGTAAATGTGGAGGCATGCAGTTTAGGTGTTTCCATGGAAAAGGACTACACCTATCCAAGCATCAACTTTTAAAAGAAGTTTGTGCATATCTTCAAATGTTTAAGATCAGCCCTTATTAGGTTAGAATAGCTACCTGTTCAATGTCACTGAATGTTCAGTTCCTGCACAATACCAGTTATTAAGCAGCGAGTGATCCAAAAACTAATATTTCTACGGCAGAAAGGAGAGTGTTATGACTCACCTTACAGCCCTCACAAGCATGAACCCCATAATGGAATCCTGAAGCAACGTCTCCACAGACTTTACACAGAAGGACCATGCCATTGAATTCTAGAAACAGAACAGAGGAAGGAGCATGAGAAACCAATGACAACTTCCCCCTGTAAAAACATATTCCCTTTTTATTTTTAAAAAACCATTCAGTGAGTAAGTTCAACATTCATAAAACAAAGGGGACAAAACAAAGAGTACAGGAAAACCCTGCACTGTTCATCAGTTATTACTGCATGAAATGTCACTGGATACAGTGGAGAGAACACATATACACTGGGCTTACAGTCAACATTGTATTCAATAGTAGAAAAAATAAAGTCTGCTTACATTTATGAAATGCTAAAAGGATCATTTAGGAAACTAGGTCACCAAAGTTTGGGTTCAATCTGTCTTCAGGACAAGGAAGACAATATAAATGTTGCAGTTTCCCCAACTGAGAATAAAGATATTTTCTTAAAAACAGAAAAATTAAAGGACACTGTTAACTTAAAAACCACGCATTGCAAAGAAATCATTTACTTTAGTTATTTATTAACACAAACTTAGGTCCCACCCTTTAACTGAATCTATATGGGTGGATCTGTGCGTTCGTATAGGCTGCTTACACACACAAAAAAATCCCCAAAACCCTCAGTGCTTTACTTTAAACTTGTCACGCACCTGCACCGAGCCCAGCACATGCCCAGAACAGACATCACATAAATTTGACCTGGCGCACCCTACATCTGTATAGATCAGGCACTTCAGCAGGCAATTTGGGGTTTTTATCTAACACCTGATTCAATCAGCTGTTAGGCAAAAGTGCCAACAAGCCCTGCTGAAGTGCCTGATCTATACAGACGCTGCGGAGCCAGGTCCAACTAATATGCTGCTTCTTTTGGTAAAGGGATTTTTTTCCCATGTCCATCAGTAGCCATAGTGCTCACCCATTTGAGTGTAATTGTAGACTAGGGCTATACATTATAAAAGGTGAAATAATTATGCAAGTCCAATTTGCTTATCACTGTTTATCCTCCGATTATATTTTGAATGTTTTATTTCAGCAAAATGAATGAAAATATTTTGTGCTATTTTTGTATTTTATGTATGCATTTTAACAGTGACTAGTGGGAAAGCCGAGCTCAACAGAGGCTGAGTGACACAGGTGGTCAGGAATGCTTCAATGAAACGGTTTTCCCTCAGAGAATGCAGTTCCATTGAATTTCAGGTTTTGTTCTGATGTGGAAGAAAAGACATGTCAAAAATCTCAAGCTCCTCTGTGAAGGAAATCTCCATATTCTGCACAGCTTTACTAAGCATTTAAAAACTCCCACATGTCAATTTTCTTTATAGAGTCAGTTTTACTCCGGAGTTCTCATGCCTTGATCTCCCAAACACATATGCATGTGACTAGATTTCAATGTATGAGTAATCCCATTGAGCATTTCAGTGTGTGCCAAACCACTGAAAACAACAGAAGAGGGAATGGTTCTTGCAAAGATCCAGGAGATGGGAATTATTTTTTTAAAATGAAGTGGAAGGATTTTTAAAGTAACATGATCAGACTTAAGTGCTGGCTTCATAGTGCCTCCAAATCATAAAATAAAAGGTTGTTTTCCAAAGGAATCCTGTAACTTTCAAACATAATTTTGCCTCAGAAAGAAATTTAAAAGCTGCTTTCAAATAATGCCTTTGTTGAAATAGTCGGTCATCCATACAACTTAAATATTTGTTATTCAGGGTTAAACGTTTTCCTGAAAAAATTGGAGGTCTCCTTCAGATTTTAAAAACTGCTTCAAAACTTTTTCTTTACTGCTGAACTTTTCCAGTTGCCAAAGAAAGTCACAGAACAGAAGCAAAGTGAGCAGATACCTTTGAAAACACATAGCTGAAGGGGAACTGCTTTTAAAACTTTACAACAGTTTAGAATATAAAAGCAGTTGCAACTATGTGGTCGCCATTCTTGCAACTGCATGGCAATTCTTCTGTTGTATGCAGTAGCTAGGGGTGGGAGGCAGGGGCATCAGCCTGGGTGCTAATTTTGAGCAGGGGCTAGAATAGCCCCCCAGGGAGCCTGTACAGCAGCCGTAGCCACCAGGGTTTTTTGGTCTCCAGGTCAGGTAAAATCCCACCGGCTCTCTGGTACTCGGCAGCCCATGTCCCTCCACTCTCTGCATCTCTGCCCAGGATGTCATTGCTCTCTGGTTACATATATTTTCTTTGCTCAGATGAGAATTTCAGCAAATAAAAGATGTTTCTTTGAGCAAGCCTTACACGCTAAAAGGTGATGACCACTTTTTTTAAACTGCTAGGAGTAAGCTACCTGACACCCCCTACAGGTCCCAATTAAAAAAGGTCACATTTTGAACTATTTTTTTTCTGTGCAAAGCTAAACCAGGCTCATGGATTGCCTCCTGGTCCTGTTTTCATACGACACATAGCACCATGGGCTCCTGGGTCGTGGCTAGGGTGCTGAACTGCTGTATTCATATCAGTAAGGAATAAGAATGGGCTGTTTCAGCGAAAGGGGCACAGCTTGGAACACTTGCATCATTTCCCAATTGCTAGGATTAGAAGTGAATGGTAATATCTAGAACATGCACAAGTTGCCCTTAGGCTAAATGAAACCAGCTGTCAGTTTGAGTCAGCAGAGTACGACAGTATCCATGTGCTTGCATGGTGGGGGTGAGGTGGGACGGATGGTAGAATGCAGGTTACTACTAAACGTACTTGTGACACTACTGCGGCCCTTGGTCAATCCAGCAACATTAGACTGGTTTGTTTTAATGGCATCATCTAGTCGATCGTTCTTTGGCGAGCTGTCGGAGCTCTCGCTGCTCCTGCTGTTACAGCTGCTCTCAGAGGAGGAACTGTTTGGTGAAGATGGTACAGGCGAAGAGGATGACTGGAAACCACTGTCTGAACTCTCGCTGTGACAAGAGGCTGGACTAGATGCTGAGCTGGAAGAGCTGATGTAAGCTATCACACCACCTGGAGGAAGAAAAAGAACAGAACACAGTGACACACATGTACACAGCTGACCTAGGAACCTGACCCAGCACCTCATGAGTTCGCACATGTGCCTCCCTCCTCCAGTCATTCCTCTCTATTAGCTTTAAACCTGACCTCTGCTTCTGTGGTCCAATCTACTCCTGCCCTCACAGTGACCTCCAAAACAGAAATGAGATTAGATAAAGGGGAGCAAGAAGAGGGGAAAACCACATGCAGAACTAAGAAGCTTACATCTGACAGGGTGGATGACAGAGACTCAGTGAAGGGACTGAAGGGGGGCTGTAACATGATCAGACTCAGCAGCAGTGCTTCAAAACAGACTTGAGAGTTAACATGCATGCTAGACAAAGAAGCAAGCTGCGATGTTAGAGACAAAAGTGGAAATCATCTGCATTAGTGTTAGAGAGGAAAGGCAAAGGGTCAGGTTATGACCCTGAGATACGGAGAATGTCAGAGGTGCGTCTGGCAATGGAGAAAGATGAGGTGGGGTGGAAACAGAAGAGAAGGAAGTGATTCCTACCCTACTTTTTTCTAGTAAGGACCATTTGTGATATTAATAATGCACGTCATGTTTTTAAATATGACTATATGTGGCTTGTCAGGGGAGCTATTTACAAAGCTCAGTGGTTTTGCTTGTGTGAGAGAGCTTGTTCATGGTCTTAAGCTCTTGAGATTCGTTTGGTGAAGCAACTTCTTGTATTCTTCCAAACACACAAGTAGCTTTTCTATTTTTAAAGGGCTTCCTTTTCTACATCGTATGCTGAAGAAATGACCCCTTGGGGGCCATAACCAAAGAACTGTTAAAAGTTTACATTTTTTTTTTTTTGAGACTCCACCTATTATCTCTAGGATCTAATATTTTAAGAGCCATTACAAGACATTTGCTATTGGATATTGATTAAAAAAATAAAATAAATACATTAAAAAAAATCAGTACATGTAAGAGTTCACTATAAAAAGCCAACCTGAATTTAAAATGTATATTTAATTCCTTCTCTTCTTCTCTGTTATTGTTTTGCTTCTTGTGGAAGGTCTCTGCACATATGACTTAATTACTTCCTAGACTAAACTAATACATATGCTATAAATCAAAGAAGTTTCAAAACTGACAAGTGACAATATTTTTTTTAATGATTTTGTCTGTGGAATACTTGCTTGACAGATTAAGTGGGTAAAGCTGTTCCTGGGTCATGCTACTTTACATTAATTATAGCTTATTTGAGAGTGACAGATGCCATTCTGTCCTGCTATGGCATTACATAATTCCAAAACCAATACTGTACTAGCATTACTCTCCATGAAAGTCAAACAGATACTAACTTCTAACATTTTAAGATGTTAAACATTAAGAGGATTGTTTACAGTTACAAAGCACTGATGTTTAGATTTTGCTTTTTAATAATGGTATTAAAGACATTACAGTACATTCAAATTTAAATCTCTCATTGACACTGTAGCTTTTTACTTCCCACTGCCTAACCAGCAAAATTTATCAAGAAAAACGTTATGTGAATGAACAGGGACCTTACGAGGATCATTTTTCCTAAGCCTGTACAGTGTGCATTCCTATACAGTTTTTAGTAACCACCAAAATCCAGCCAGGATTCATAACCATCCAGAATGTGTTAAATTTATGTGAAGGAGCTCTGCTGAATATACAAGTCATGTTTTCATAATAGGAGTTGTGCACCAAAATCTAGCAAAAAAAAAAAAAAGGCACTGCACTAAAGTATTACATAATTCTTAATCATCAACCTTGTACTAACCACTAGGGGCACAGGGCTGTGCATTTGCCAGGGCAGACCAAGTATTTCCCCTGGTACCATGAATACCGCTGCAGCATCTGATTAACAACAGCACTAAGCTTGTAAAGGAAAAAACACTCTGTTCTACCTGGGCTCCAACAGAGGGAAGTGAAATCCCAAATTGGACACATGCCATATAACAGCAATAAGGAACACTAAACAAATATACCCAGTAGTATTTCTCCAGTTGGAAAAGAGACTCTCTCTATTCCAAAGGACAGAGAAACCTGAGATGCACTTCCTTCCCTGACTGTGATATGAAAGACAGGAACCAATTTAAGAATGTTTATACAGAAAGTTACCTTTAATTTTACCTTCCCCCTCACTTTTGAAAAGGAGCAGTCCCATTTGTTATCCTGAATACTGCTGCACTCTGAAAATGTCTTGGACACTTGTCACATTACTATGAGATCTATTAATAAAAAAAAGTACCTTAGGAGACTCTTAAGCTCCCTAGGAGTCCCTTGGTCAGGACTCTTATTTCTTTGCATTTCATTAAATACATAGTACATGTGAAGCTGGCATTTCTTAACATAGGATTTGCTAACAGACAGAAAGCAAATCGATGTTATTCATGTTGAACAGAATTGTTGAGGATATGATATGGAACTGGTTCCAGACACTTGTTTTAATCAACTAGATAAAAGAAATATGAAAGGAAGTTGGTACCCTATATTCACCACTGTATATGGACATATGTATTCAGAAGGAAATTATGTAACATACTAGAGACTTCCTGACTATTTAATTTCAACAGTGACTTTGAGGGCACAGTTTTAATAGTGCCTGCTGGAGGGATGCTGTTTGGTTACTTTTTAATCCATTTTAAACTCACTGTTACAAGGATTCATATTATTTTCTTCTATAATTGTCCCTTCCCATTTCATTTCCACTCTCTTCATTTGTAAAACTTTTTATGCCAAACAGAGCTTTAATCAATGAAAAAAATGTTAAGGGCTGTTTCTCCTGCACAATTTTCTAAATGTTAATGATCACCACCACACAGTTTAATGCAACAACAAAGCAAGCAAGAGAAATTCTTCAAAAACACCCAAACTAGCAAATTTTTAAATTCTAAATTCTTCCTCACATAGTTTCTAGATTTCCAGCCAGAGTATGTTCCAAGCAACTACAGGCAATGCAAATCCCTCCATCCTCACTGAATGCAACTGTGCTTCAAACATCCTGGAATGGGAGAGTGAGCTAACTAGACAACCTCTGTTTTATTAGAGCCATTTCACTTACATTTGCTGCACGCGTGAGAGGAGAGAGAGGGACAGCGCATCTTTATATAAAGTCACTTTCCTAAGAGAAGCCGTTCTCTACTCAAGCAAAACTCCCTGCAACTTCCACACTGCTTGGATAAAGGATGAAACCATTCTAATTCCCACACTCCCGGCAATGCTCAACATCCTGTTATGTAACACATTAAAAACCCCCTGGGTGTCCAACCAGCTGACACGTTGCACTGCTTACGTCAGCTGAGGCATCACTGAGGGTGTGTCTACCTCCCTGTCTCAACTTAAGATCCCTGCTGCTGCAAAAGTCCATACACGTGAGGGGACTACAAAGTGATCCGCGTGTTTTCGGCACATGTATGCGCCCCTGACCGCCAGGCCACAATGCAACAATCAAACGCAGCTGCCACAAGTCCTCATGATCAGTCACATGCAGCGGTTGGCATCTTTAAGACACCAGAGAAAATATCAACTGTTCAAATTGGGGAGTAACAGGCATCACCATCACAGCTGGCCCCATTCTCTCTTCCAGCCGCTTTCACCCCCTTCCATGCTGCAGAGAGGTGGCAGCCGCAGCAGCCCGGAGAAAGGCTGAGCCCTGCTGCACTGCAGCACGGCCCCGCGCTCACCTCTGCGGAAACCGGAACCGCGCCCCTTTGGAACGCTGGCTACAGTTCTAACCCCGCCCCCAGCGGAGCGCTCGGCTCTCCCCCGCACCGCAGCGCCAGGCAGAAGGGCAGCGCGGGGGCGGGGCCGGGACGCCGCAGCCCCCCCC